CTTATCCTTCGTAACATTTGTAACAATGCTGTAACAACTACGTAACAACCTTGTAACATCCATGTAACCTTATTAATTCCGATTTTTGGTCATTTTCAAGGCTTGTTCTGTAACACTTGTGACAACCTGTAACATTTGTAACAATTATCTGTGAAATTTTCATTTCATTCTTATCCTTCTTAACATTTGTAACAATGCTGTAACAACTACGTAACAACCTTGTAACATCCATGTAACCGTATTAATTCCGATTTTTGGTCATTTTCAAGGCTTGTTCTGTAACACTTGTAACAACCTGTAACATTTGTAACAATTATCTGTGAAATTTTCATTTCATTCTCAACCTTCGTAACATTTGTAACTATGCTGTAACAACTACGTAACAACCTTGTAACATCTATGTCACCTTATTTATTCCGTTCCTATCACTTAATACAATGTACAAAATGTACTTGCAGAAAATGTTGACTAGTACAATTATAGTGGCTATATGGAAGTCACAATACTTTTTGTTTACTTTTTGGCATTTTTGTGGCCATTAATTTCACTAAAACTGTACTCCTTTTATGTACGAAGAATCTAAATTTGCTATATAGCCATTATTTCAACGTTATTGAACTCATATCTGCCCTATTAAAGAAAGTAAACATTGTTATAGATGTATAATGTTCCTTAAATACAATTTTGCATGCAGATGATTTCTTACAATAAACAGTAAGTGTATGTTTCTTCTATGCAATGCTTTGTTAATTGGTTATCTGCAAATTAACATTTAATAGTCCATATTGTATATAATTATTTAAAATTATAGGCTAATACGCATCCATTAAATCAGTAAGTGTTCGAAGCAATCAACAAAAATGGAAAACATCTGGCGATATAGCAGAACTTAAACGACTTCTTACTAGATAGCTAATTAATTGATTGACAATCGCCATGAAATTCAGGGATTGGTAAATTATCACCAAAATACCACACTTCTGTAAACATTGCGCTTAATTATGTTCAATATCAACGGGGAAGCAATAAAGAAATTCTAAAATTGTCAGACGTTCTAAAGTGAAGTAAATAATTTGGTTGTGTTAGGAAAACCTAATCAGACGGCTATTGAAGAGAGAAACGAATTTAGAAATTGTTGCTGTTTTAAACCAATATAGCTCTTATTCTTGTTTATTTCATTATTAGGAAATTTCTACTTACTTTATATGCATTGTCGTTTATAGAACGTTATCATTCAAAAGTTCATTATTAAACTTGTCACTGTAAAATCTTTATTTAACAAGACTGTATCTGAAAGGCACATCTTAAGACAACTAGCTAAGTCATAATATTGTATGGATATAGAAAGCAGACCGAGCGTTAAAACATGAAATGTTTAAACTACTATTAGATTTTATGCCATTGACAGTGGAAAGAATTTGATGTCTTATGCAATCTTTTAAATCATTTATCTGAATTGGTGAAAACAAGAAAAGAAAAAAGCTGCCATTAATTTTGAAAAATCAATTAAGCAAAAAGTATAATGTTGAAAGGGGAAATAAAATTGGATTACAATTTGATCTAAACTTCGCAGCTTTTGTTATAAAACATTCTCATAATGAATATATTTACATTATAAATTTCATTCTTGTCTTGAATTAGTTTGGAATAGTAAACTCAATAAATTACGGTACATTTTATTTGATTTTTTGTATAGCCTTTATTAGGCATCATACAAAGAAATTTAATGTATACGGTGTTCGATACAATCAAATTATCGTGCATAGAATAAAATTTAATATACTTAGTCCAGACATTATGCATGTAGTAATTTTATCTTTCAGTTATTAAGGAAACTAACTTAAGAATGCAGAAGGATTGTAATTCGTCTTAAACTGTAAGCTTCTCAAATTGGTTATATTTAACAGTCTATTTTCATTTAGAACACGTAATTATCGGATGAATTAATGTTCAAACTTTAAGACTTCAAAGCTATCGTGCAATATAATAAATTTATCATTTCCAAACTTATCCCTTCGACAATAATAAAACATAAATACGTTTTTTCTTAATCAAAATATTGCTTAAGTTGAAACTGTTCGAGATTTTATCTAATTACAAATTTGTCATTTGGAGAGAACACACGTCAGAGGAAACGTCCACTGATTGTATCTTACAAGATTGTCTTGTTTCATAGGATGTATTACCTTATTTACATAAAGTTCTATTTTGTTTCATGCATTAGATTTTCCAGACTTTTGTTGGATTAGACGTAAGATGCATTTAATGTTCATGAAGCGTACTTTTGTAAGATATGATAATATAAGATATGATAATATATAAGATCTAATATAAGTACGCTAGGATTTCTATAAATGCAAATAGATCACCGTCAAAATAATTCTGTTTAACAAATTTTATAAAATGTCACTATACACCATTATATGCCGTGGAGTTTACAACCCGTGGTCAAATGCTTATGGTCATTGATTTCACTTGCCCCTATCCGCTTAAGGTTCAAATTCCATCAAAAACAGCACGCAAAAAACAACACAATGTAATATTCATTTCAGATAAACCTCATGCAGTCGTTGTATATAGAGACCTATTATTCACATAAAATGACATAATGCTATACTTATGCCAATGTGATACATATGGCAGTTAAAATGGTTTAAAATACAGATTCATTTACTGTATTTTTATTCAAACAGATTCTAATGTCATGTGATATAGATGTTGATACATTGCTACTTAAAGGTGTAATTATGTAAAATAACAACATTTGTTTTCTTACCAAAAGTGGATAATAGATGTGTTTTTCATGTTGTGCCGTATGAAATTACATAAGCTGATATTTTCAGTACACCAATACATAGTGTAAGAACCAAAACGAGCATGTCAGCATTCCTAGTAACTAAATGAAGTTTGTATAATACCTAATAAAGAGAGAAAATGAGGCCTTTCCAACAGTAATAGAAAGCGGTCCACGACATCATTGCAAATGCGGAGTTTGTTGTTTATGATAAATGTATTAGGAAGACTGTCACGAAACTGCTTTTCTATAATTCATTATATGCGATAATACACCATTCTGAACGTGTCCTTTTTTTCTTTCGTTCTAATGTTTTTAATTCTAAAAGAACAATTTCTGATATAATTTATGTTCATTGATATTGTATCACGTGTACATGGTCGCTGAGTGTCTGAACTAAGCCAGAACTGGTCAATATAAATTAAATGTATTTAAACTGAACACAGGGCGGGTTTGAACTTAGATTGTTAGATGAGAAGTGCAGCATGAACAAAAGAGACAAATCGTATTTTTAGACATTTATAATTATTATGACAAAGAAAATAAGAATAATTTCGTTATTGTGTACAGAGATTTTTTGAACATAAATAGACGATATTAGAATACTTGCTTGCGATTTGCAGCTATTTGTTTGTTCTTATTCTTCTCAAAGGATTTTTGTCCAGAAATTTCCAAACAGAATATGTCAACACAATAATCAGCATGTTAACATTAAAATCTTTTTTAATTTAATGCATCAGAAAAAATCTTACAGCTAAACGTAGTTTTGTAAGTTTACCAGCTAAATATCCTTTCAGACATTACATATACATTTTCTTTAATAAAAGTAAACTTTTATCGAAGAACATTAATTAGTTAAAACAAAGAATTATTTCATGCAGAATATAGTTTCGTAAATCCACACTCAAGTTTGAATGTCCACTCATATTTGTCTCAGTATGTTAAATCAGCTTCAGCACAGTATAACCATAATTTGTGAAGTATGTATTTTTTCAGTTTATTCTCGTTCATTTATAATATTAGAAAATCATAATTTATATAACATTCCAGTATAGATTTAGCATTCAAATGTTATGCATTTACAACTTGACAGACTTCCACTTGTTCTTCCACATCAGATCTATATCTAGAGCATTTTTTGTGTCCAACTTTGCATTCCCTTCTCCTTGAATTACCACCAAATGTATCAAGGGCTGGTTTACATGTTGTCCATTCCGTCCACTGTGAGCAACTTGGCGTCTTACATTCTAAAAATTGATTATAGCATTTCCGATCGTTTCCAGAAGGTCGCTTTTTAGTTTCGTAGCCAGTTTCAAAACCGATTGTCCATTAATGTCCGTTTTATTTGTGTATGTTCCAACGGGAGAAGTATATCCTTCCTCAACAAGAGCAATAAAACAGTATTGCGATAATTAATTGACTTAAAAAGAGCCATGAGTGAATATTGTTCCACCAGTCGATTATACTGTCGAGCTTAAAGATATTATGTTATATAATGAAGAACACACTATAATGACTGCTTTCTATATGACATTGAAAAAGCGAATGTATAAGTGTATACTTAGACAGAAAGTGATGTTTTTCAATGAGACATTTCCTTTTTCTTTCTATGTTTATCTTTTAGAAGTTGACACTTTACACTTAATAAGACAAATTCCATTGCGTTGTCGTGATTCAATATTCAATCAAAGTTACACTTTAAAAAAAAAACCATTTTAAAAATTTTTTTAAAAAAAAAGAAAACAAATTGCTTAAATTTTTGGTTTCCAAAAAAGGGGGTTATTTTTTAAAAAAATGAATTTTCCTTTGAAACAAAATTTTTTAAAAACCAAAAATTGCTTTTGGCCATGATGTAAATACTATACAATTATTGACATTTTGAATCCGTAGAATGTAGTACCAAACAGTTTGTCCTATTTTACGTTTAGAAAATAAATTTTACTGTAACGTTATCTATAACTTCATTAATCAGACATTTCGGGCAGCCACGTAAACTAGTTTTAGGCAGGTTTTAAATCAAAAAATCGCTTTTGTGTTTCATGTAATCCCCCTTTACAAATTTCTTTCCTTGTTGCTAATTTTTTTTAACCCGTTTTCCCAAAAAAACCAAAAAATTTAATTTAAAAGCAAATATCTAAAGTCAGTTTTAATACTGCTGAAAGCTAAGCCTTCAATTGTACGTACGATCTATTTAGTGTACATAAACAGTTGATCATATTCTACATCGGTAATATGAGTAATAGCAATGAGTAGCAATGAGAAAAACACTTCAGACAACAAAGACGTTACGGCTTAACGTAACAGGAACAAAACATAATATCAATTATTTACTTGGGTAAGTTTCTAAAACTTACCTTGTCTACCAGAACAAAATTCTAACAGAACTTCATAATCATCACGATTAATTAATATAAATATTTCATCTACTTCTCAAAAGAAAAATCGAAAATTTGACTGGAAGGATTCATTTCAATGAAACGTTTAAATAAGCACAGCAAAAGTGAAGTAAAATTTGAAGATAGACACTTAAAAGATATAACCGATGGATATTTTTCATAGAATTTTCTATCAGTAAAGATGTCAAGAAAATGTTTCGGCAAAACGAGAAAGAAACTAAATTTAGGAATCGTTTGTGCCGATGAAACAAAACTTGTTCTGACGTTAAACTCAGTTGCTCGATTTATTTACGCGGAAAAGTAACATTTCATCCGAATACATTAAAGTTTCTACATCATGACAATTTTCCATTTTACTATTATCTTGCGGAGAATATGAAATCGTTTGCTGTGAAAGTAGAATGAAAATCATACTATAGTATCAACAGATCCGTGACACAGTATGTTTTGCATATCATTTGATAGAAGCATCTATTGGTTATCTTATGTGTCCCTATGACTATGTTGTTTAAAAATACAACACAAAAGCCCATATTCTATATCTCTTAGTAACTCGTATTAATTCCTACGTCGCAATACAGAATGAAAAAAAAAGATTATCCTATGTTAAAAAAATTAATGTTAAAATAAACCTAGCTGTAACGACGGGTTACACAAGTTTGACCCCAAATCCACATTAAAAATATGATTCACTGTGTTCCCTATCAGAGCACATAGAGACATACATGAGTTATCTGATTGTATACAGATTAGAGGTTTATCAAACCAATAGGCTGTATCTTCCAGTAATACAGTTCATGATCCATATGCCAACTTGATTGACAATTATACGAGCATCCTGATAGGGCATGAGACAATTGCTCATAACTGTTGGGGAAGCAATAAATAAACATTAGACTGCGAACGTCGGTTTCAAGACATTTACGATACATGTGTATCTACTTTTTATTCCAGGAGAGCATTTATGTCAAAATAAAGTACTTGATTGCAAAAATAAACATAATATTTCTTCAAACTTTACTTGAATATGTTATATAATAGCTGTATATTAACAACAACAATATGATTCGTAAAATACACACCAATAACTACATTATATGTATACGGTAACTTGATTTTAGTTAATGTAATTTAGTTAATTAAATTTGGAAAAGATATTTTTTGTTAGAAAAAAGTTGATTGATTGAGTTTGTTCCTGCTTACTTTACATCTCACATCCTTTTACGTGTCCACAATGAAAGTATGACAAAAACAAATTTTCCTCACATGTGTGTTTTAAGAGGCACTTAGAAGTTACAAAAAATGTTCACAACCTTTTCTATTTAGTCAGTCAAGTGTCCGATTTTATACCACTTGTAAACCACTTATCCGACAAAATGTATATAAGTCATAAAACATGATAAAATTGCTCGTCAATGCATTTGAAATCGTATCTTCATAATCTATGATCATGCTTTTCTTTCACTTGATTTTCCAAGATGAACTATTTACAAAGTTATACATAATTATGCATCTCTTATTAAACACCATCTAGACAAGAGGCAAGTGTTACTGATCCTCGGATCTATCAGAAGTGCTTTTAAGTGCCTACGATAAGAAATTGCATATAAACGATAGTAACATTTGCTGAATTTCATTATTTGTCGGTTTTGCAATCTTAAATGTAATATACTTTTTTTTTCTTATCTTCAAAACACTTATAAAATCAAATATTATCTATTTTCTATTTGTTCGTTAGTATTAACATGCTTATCCTCAAATTCAAGACTGTTGTCATTGTCATGTCGTTGCATAGCCTTCTTTATATGATAAACAATCAAAGACAGAAAACGGGTCCAGACATCTTGTAGTTCCTCACACCATGGATCCTGACTGTACGGCTTCATTGCAGTTAGAAAATGAGGTAATATAATCTGAAAATAGCGACATTGAGTATCAAAACACATTAAATATGTAATTATTCACGATAAAAGAGTATCTTCATTTTTAAAGGCCAGCAGTTACTATACATCTGCGCACTAGTATGGGTATATTACGTATAACAACAAGACTATTTAAAATGCAAACATTACACTCAATAATATAATCCCATATGACTGTAGCTTGACATGTTTCATTTATGATGTTCAAAAATACCTTAAAAATAACGTCGTACCTGAATATCATTAGAGCGTACATTGTACATATTATGATGTTCACCAACTTCTTGTAGAATATATTCCATACTTGATGGGTCGTTGATATGTATGATGCATTTATCTATAGTTGACATGACCCTCACTGCATGCTGTTGTAACAACCCCGATTCCTGTAACTTGTTAACATCTTTGCCTTCGAATGTTGAAAACGTTCTGATCAATTCCGGCTTGCTTTTAAACATACTTTATTAATAGAGAAGGCTTCATTAGTAATCATATAGTTATATGTCAGATTGTATTGTAACGAATAGAAAATGCTAAACTGTCGATATATTAATGAATAACACTTCCTTTTTGCGCAAGACAATGATTAAAATGTAAACGTTTTATTAGAATAAAGAAATAGGTCAAAGCACTTCGTTTTAATTATTTCGGCTTTTTACATATAAATGTGGTGATATTTATTTTTGATACGTGCAATTTATTCAGAAAGTCAGAAAAAGATGAAAACTAATACATAAAATATTTGATCTTAAGTGTATCTATAAATTCAAGGATACTAATAAAATGAAACGTTTGAACAGATATTTGAGATTAACATATTGTATGACTTGCTCAAAGTCCTTTCTTTTCGCTTATATATATATAGTATCTTGATCAATGTATTATATATCAAACAAAAATAATTTTTAGAAAGGATTGCCGTTTTACAATCAATTTCTTCGTGCAGACGTTATGATTGTAGTCAAACAAAAACATTATGAAGTAGTAAAAACGTATTATTTCTTCAATTATTTAAATTAGATACACGTATTCAAGGTTTTATTTTTTAAAGTTACAATACATTAAAAGATATAAAACACATATAAATATCTTAAGTGACAAAAAGTATATAATATAATTACACACGTTATGTCAGAATCTGTTCGGTGGAAATGAGCAACAAGTTCACACAATCACAAGACGAACGCCAAATGTAAATTCTAACAATTAACTGCAGTAAAATCGAAATCGTATAACAGCGAAAGCATTGAAAACTGATGACAATCGTTTTAATCAATACATTTGGAGCCCCAAAATAATATTATCTAATAATTGTAATCTTCGTCTGACAGGGTCAAGAAGAGGCATGTATTTCCCAGTAAAAATCTTTTGTTCACTATAAGCTTGATGAATTATCCAGACACTTAAATATATTTGATCCATATAACTATTTACATATAACATGCGAGGTAAAGTCGTAAAATTAAAATCACCACCGGTATCTGTCTTTTAAACCAGTATCAGAGTGTGGCTATAACAAGTCTGTAAAATACTTTTTCTTTATTCATGGGAAAAGTTCAATATTTTATGTTACTATTAAATGGGATCAATCTGTCTTTTTAACCAGTATGAGGTTGTGGATATAACAAGTCTGTAAATACTTTGTCTTTATTCATGGGAAAGGTTTAACATTTTATGTATCAAATGGGATCAATCTGAATGATTGCACAAACTGAATGTAAGACACATTGTATAAGCTGATTTGAATAATTAATGCAACAATTTGTTGCCTTTAATGTTATTAATATAAAAGTAGAAAATGCCAAAGAAAACATTTGTATTATATGTCTCGGAAAAATTGATTTTCAGTATATGCATTTTACTATACTTTTGTTTTTGCTGGTAAATTGAAGTATGTTAATTAAATGATTAGTGAAATTAACATCTCATGGTTTAAATGTACAGCCTTTTATCGGCTTATTAATATTATATAATACCATGTTAAATAGGAATAATTGTAGTTTGTTTTAAAGTATTAAAGCATCTGCCTCATAGATATAATAATTATCGTTTGAACAGCCATGTGAAATATATTTTGTTTTGAAAGGAAGACACTTTCAATTATTTTGCGACGACTTACGTATAAATACATATATCTAGCTTAGATTCATGATATTTAGAATAATGTCTACGGAGATGTTGCCATGTTTCTCGCGAAAACTTTCCCGAGTTCTTGCTGATTATTGTTAATATGATATTTCTGGTTTGTTTCTACGGCAACAGCCTTAGTTTGTTTTCAAAGAGAGAAATAGACTATAATTAATGTTACTGATATGTTAAAGTTTAACGTTCCATCATGATTTCAAAATGTAATATTGCTCATGTGTTGATGTCTAATTACGGTTTTTAACTACATTTTTGTTTGAATTTAAAATGTAAAACTGTTCTGAATGTTACTTAACATTTTAAAACGTTGGAGCTGGCCTATTATGCTATAATATCGGTACAATGGTTAACCAATAGAACAAAACAGTTTGCTACTACAACCGCATGCTCAAAATGTAGTTGATACATTTCGAAAGATACAGTCGAACAATTAATAAAACAATAAAATGTCTAAAGATATTTAAACATGGTTACAAGTACTTTATCAATTACAAATACAATTTTAATGCACATAATTCGTTTGGACGAAAGAAAATGAAGTGGTTTGCCGTCATGTATGATATAACAAGCGAAACTTCCGTTTTATAATTATTTTAGGGAGATGACAAAATTGATAATAATAATATTATTATTTAGAAAAGAAAACCGCATCACGTGTTTTATTTGAAAGGAACATTATAAATTTTGTTATGCCAATCTTATGTTACGGGACTTATCAAAAACGAGAAAACGGCCTTCAAAACCGTTTCCACTAGATAGTATAATTCATTATTTCATATGGTAAAGAGTACACATTTTGTTGACAATACCGACCCATTTTATGTCAAACTTATGGTTGATATTATTATATCTATAGTACACATCCAGCCCAAAAACATTTTGAAAATTGTGTAAATGTAACATTGGACATAACTTTTCACTAAGATAAAACTAAAACACACCCTGATAAAAGCTTTATATATTTCTAAAATATTATAATATTATGTTACCAGAAGAAGACATGATGTTAAAACAAACCTAACGTATGTTAAAACTCCAATGTTTGCAATGTGTAATTTCAATCCTTGCCAGTTATTTTGAATCACAGCTTTATCCATGTCTGTTAATTGTGGAATATCTGTGGTGTGTATTGTACCAACTTTGCCTTTTATCATCGCATTAACGCCACTTTTGAAAGAGGTACATCCCATTTCGATTACATATGTTCATTAAAATATTATCATTTGTTTCTGCAAATAATTAACTATAATTTTATTGTGTTATACTTAATCTAGTAACTCCCTAGATTCATTGATTTTTATAATCCAAATCTTGTCTTCACCACGTTACATTATCACAACAGGAAAACCTTTTACTATATTACACTTCAAATCCCGCAACCGAATATTGTCTTTTTAGTTTCTAAGCATATAGTTTCTATCCCGATCGGGAAACTCTCTGAGGAAGAGAGAAAAGACTCTGTATAGAAAAAAGATATATATGGACTGATTCTATTTCCACGATCATATTTCATCATACTGAAATAAGAGGTGTTAGAATATTGAGAACACTTTTAAATTTACGTGGCGTAAAGAGATAATCTAGAGATTTATTCAGATTCGAAATCAACCGTTTTCTAATCACGGACGATGTAAACTATGTTCAAACTGGATATAAGAAATCAAAGTGAGAATCAAAATACAATTCATGCTCAAATTGTTTCTTTATGTAAAACGCCCATTCACCTTAGTGTATTTTCTTATCTTATTATGATATAAACAGAATCAAATGAAAAGAAATTGAATAAAGTTAAAGTGATACATTTGGAATATGCTTATCCTAAATAAAGTAATAGAAATGGTGTTAAAAACGTAAGAAGCGATTACGTGAGATCGTATATGGCAATTTTGAATGGCTTGTTTTCATAAGATGTTTCTATATTTTTTGTATTGTTGTCGTGGTATTCAGGACTTTCATGTTGTGTTTTTATTCAAAAGTTTGTTTACCGTTTTGTTTGTATTTCCAAACGTAAACCTTGTTAGCATATATTGTAAAGAAGTACCGTAACAAACTAAAATGAAGAAATAGCTTGTCTATGTTTATCGCTGACAATATTTGAAGCTTTCCCAAATTTTTTTTTTAATGAAAAAATTCCCCCCTCAGAAAAAAATTTTTGTAAACATACCGAAACAGAAAAAATCATTTTTTCTTTCCCCGTCATTACCGAAATTTTCGGAAAGCGTTAAAAATATGTTAATTATAAAAACAAATAAATTTTGCTGGGATATAACTTCTACAAATTTTCATTTCAACTGGGGGAAAAAAAGCAGCTTTTTTTTATCATTTTGGTTTTGTAAGTTTTTAAATTGATAATAAGTAAAAAGTATTTAGAAAATTTTCTTTAACCCGTCTGGTTTCACGTATTTTAATTCCTAACTTTTATTAAAAACAAATGTTACACGACAGCAAAATTTCCACATTATTTCAGAAATGTCATTCGTATGCCTCTCATATGTTGTCTTTAATGCAGTTTGTTTGATTATAAGCTTATAACAGTTGCTTATAATAGCAGTTATAACAGCACTGACCCGGTATGGGAATTTATATCACAACATTTACCCAATCAACAAAATCCTTTATTATATCCTGGTTACACTTATGATTATTATCAATGTATTGTCAGATATTCAGATATATGGTTTATCAAAATTTGCATCGACTAATAACATCAGTGTTAACTTTTCATGTAACTATGTCAATCACCGTTTTAATTAAAGTTTTTACTCGAAAATTTGTGAAGAATTGATTGGCAATTTGGTTTAGACATTTTGTAAATAGCATAACCATTATAGCATCTTATGTAATTATCTTGCTTGAAAAGCCTAGCTAAATATCAATTCCATCTTATTACTAGAAGAGAAATCGTGGATTGCTATGTTGGCCAATTTAGTTGCAATTCATACAACACAGAGACCTCTTGCTTTGTCTGCATTACTGTAAAATATTTTATTGATAATAAGATGTTGTCCAAGGAAACAAAAATTAAGATGCCTTGAAGTTTGATTTATGGTGTCCTTTTATATACGCACCTTCTTAAGTGATCGTCATTCATCGTCTTGTGCTATAAAAATATTATTGCATCTAAAAAGGGCTTAATCAAATCATTGAGAAAAAACAGCTTAGGTAATATATCGCATAAGGTTTAAATTCATTCAAGTACTTCAATGCGATTCAGATACCGTTAACAAATATCATCATATTAATTATTGGAGCAACATAACAGCGCTTGTTAACATTTGTATGAATTGTATTATTTTTACATTACTTTACTGATAAAATT